CCCCTCCTCTTGCCCATGCACTCATGCACGCATCATCTCTCTAAATAAATAAACTTAAAAAAAAAACACAAACTTTTGAAAACATTCCCTTGATGTTCTCTACTGACCCACAAGCAACTTCACATGAAAAAAACATCAGGAAAAGCAGTCAACATACCCTCGCTCAGTGTCTAATGGTATCTTGGACTGCTGAGGACCAGTACCCAGCCATTATTAGAAACGTAACCACTGTTTCTATGGATCCATACTCATTAGAAAAAAAAAAAAAGACTCAAAGTCAGGTTCAGTTTTCTTGACTTGTAATATAATGGCACATGGTAACATTTTCTTTGATTCACATTTTAAAAAGACTTCTAACCACTTAATGGTGGTCCCCAAACTGGCTTTTACGTTTTAAGAAGCCAATACCATCATCGAACAATAGAAAAAAAACCAAGATAGAAATAAGACTAAATTCAGTCTATATGATAAGGGAAAAGGCAACCCTCCAGGGAACTTGGACAATACACGATGTATTGTTTGGGATCAGGACAAAGAATGCTTAATAAGTCATCGACAATAGTTTCCATGGTTACGATATACAGTCACCTACTATAGTGTTTAGCTCAGTGTGATCGTCCTTCAGGGAAGAAGTTATCAAATGTGTTGGTGATAAGCAAACATGAAACTCACTTTAAGTTAAAGGTTGACAGACTGTCCAAAAAGAGAAAAAAAAGTTAAATGAAATTGAAATTTAAATCAAATCAAGCAAACTTTTAGTCTCTAGACCTTTGGTAGCCAACATCTCTTGGTCCCAATGAACTCCAGTCCAGCTTCGTAATATGTTCTTTTTATAAGAGGCTCTTCCCTTTCTGCCAAAGCGGCTGCGTTTCAGCAAAATTACTTGGCTAACACTGCTTTATGAAGTATAGATCAGATACGCTACTCTGGAATCTAAACCCACAAAGAATATGCCCCATAACACTACATAATAATGAAACACAGAAATACTGCATTATTGCTGCCAAAAGAAATGAAAAAAAATATGAATGAAAATGATCTCTGGGTGTGTCTTCCATGAGATTTCACTTAAACAGCATTCTCCAGTTACTTAAATCTCTACCATCAGAGGAGCTTACATATTGCCAAGTGAAAAAGGACACATTTTAGGTGGAATTTCGAATGTCACAAACCGCCCTGGGAGGTGCTGGCACCGCGTACAGAATGGTGAGTACTAACCACATTAGTAACCTCCTTCCCCTCCAGTCAACAGATACCATCTGAGGTTTGGAATCAGTGTGCTAAGGGAATTCAAACTAGAGATTCAGGGGCTTCTCCAGAGCTCCTCCCTCCAGATAAACTCCAGAGGAGGTTAATGCACTGTGCAGGTGAATGAAGTGTGTGCAGACCTACTGGGACGTTTACCCCCCAGCTCCCAGATCCACCCCTTTCACTTGCTGTGAACACTGCTGCTTAATTCTGTTAGAGCCTTCCTAAAGACGTACTACTCTTGTTACTTTCTTTGACTCCCTGGTTAGACTAATGACTGACAGCTCTCTCACGTGACTAAGGTCATAGTATTTACTTGATCATCTCACCAAGGGATAAGTGAACATGAAAAGGCAATGTTCTTCTAGGTGTGATAGGTTTCTTAAATTCCCACTAGATAGTAAAGCTTCCCTTCCTGTGACTGGGTTCTTTCAGTATGAATACAAGACATGCCATTAGAGACCAACGTGGACCGAGAGCTTCCCCAAACACAACTTAAGGTATGGCACTACTTGTGCATCACATATGGGTCTGCCAAGGACATGAGTCAACCAAATGATGTAGGCACAAAGCCACATGGCAGATTATCTGCACATTATCCCCGAAGCCTGGAGACACAAGCAAACAATACATTCCTCCCTCTACCACCAAGCTGAGCTGTTGATATTTTTTTTATTCTTATGCTCAGAGCTTACCTCAATCATGGGGATGTCGACATCCCATCTGGGAGAGTGCATCACACATATGAAATTCCATGACACAGTGGTGACGACAGGTGGGTCAACAGTAAGGCAGAGCGCTCATCTGGACTTGGGGCTTTTCTAGAGTGAAGTACTTTCACATCAACCTCCGGGAGGTAGTGGTCGTAGCAAAACTGTTCACATCAGGACTGAAAACTTGACAGCCATCTCTGAAGCTAACCAACTCAGAAAGCAACGATCTTTCTTTGGCTCCATCACGTCTACAAGTAGTTTATGTCCTGTTATCCTTCACTCACAGTCGACAGAGACGCAGAGCTCCATGAAATGGGGTTTGAGCAGGGAGGCACTAAATCAAAGGGAAACCATGTCTATCACACTCCCAGGGCCACAGACGACAGAAATTATTTCAGGAGGAGAACAACGAACTTCCCTGGCTCCAGTGCCAAGTCCTGTGAAGCAGGTGGCCCGATATCCTCACCACCATTCAGCTTGGCCGGGGACTATGCCTCTCACATGTAGGACTTGGGCACAGGAGAAAGCCACATGCTGATGAACTTTGCAGGTCATGGTGTAATATTCATTGAAAAGACCTATCCTTTCCTCCTAAGGATAAATGATCAAGAGACACGCATTGCTATTGCCTTAGGGGAAAACAAAAACACTGAGGTTTCTGCAAATCCCAAGGCGATCTCAAAATATTGAGAATTATTGCCCCCACAAAGACCTATAGACTTATGGGGCAGAAATTCACCCTACAGTTACAGGAAGGAAGAGCTAGACCATTAAATGACCTCGGAGTGGTATTTTCCTTTTACCCACTCTAATCAAATATGCCTACAAGATAGAAAGCAGCAGAACCCATGTAGCAGATATTTCAGTGGTTGGCGGCTGATCTATTTTTAACAGTCACCAGTACAGGGCCCAGCCTTTTCTCTGCCCCATCCGCAGATGATGTCCGTCTACTAGAGATAGGACAACCCGGGAATGCAGCTCACATTCTCAGGAAAAGAGCCTCCAATGCAGTCACACCAGCTCTCTGAACCAAGATGTGCCCAAGCCCATAAAACACATCAAGCACAGTATAGGCTATGACTCTCGAAGGAAGACGAAGGTGAGTGAGACAAGTGACTAGACTCTGGGATCTCAGACTCCAGTGGGAAAGAGGAGGCTACCATTTAAATACGGACAACTATTTAAATTTTTTTTTTCATGTTTACTTTGAAAGAGAGAGACAGAGTCCAGGAGCAAGCAGGGGAGGGGCAGACAGACAGGGAAATAGAGAATGCCAAGCAGGGTCCGCACTGTCAGGCCAGAGGCTGACGTGGGGCTCAATCTCACGTCCTGGGAGATCATGATCTGAGCCGAAATCAAGAGCTGGATGCTTCATCGACTGAGCCACAAACAACTATTTTTAAAAGTAGAAAGAGGGGCGCCTGGGTGGCGCAGTCGGTTAAGCGTCCGACTTCAGCCAGGTCACGATCTCGCGGTCCGTGAGTTCGAGCCCCGCGTCGGGCTCTGGGCTGATGGCTCAGAGCCTGGAGCCTGTTTCCGATTCTGTGTCTCCCTCTCTCTGCCCCTCCCCCATTCATGCTCTGTCTCTCTCTGTCCCAAAAATAAATAAACGTTGAAAAAAAAATTAAAAGTAGAAAGCAATAATGTCATAAAGAGGAGGGTAAGTTATTTCCAGCCCAAACAGAAAAGACCAGGAAGTAAAAGGAAATATTTTTTGGACAGCTAGGAGATATCTGGGGCTGGGGATACAATGCTGGTGTGAGCTGGTCTGACTGTAGTGAAGGCTCCTTTTCCAAGAATGTGACCTGCATTCCTGGTTTCTCCTAGCTCCAGTAGATGGACATCATCTGGGGATGGACCAAATGCTGGGGATACAATGACCAGTATGACCCAGTTGATACCCTCCAAGGGCAGCGTCCAATGATGGACAACCAGCTACCATAATCCTGATGATGGAGAATAGATAGATAGATGTGCACAGAACGTCCAAAACCAGAAAAAGGTGCTCCTTTGCTTACGTGAAGAATTCACAGGACGTGCCATGTGAGCCGGTTATGGAACGGTAAGCCCCTATTTCTCCATGCACAGGATTCAGGCAGAAATGTTGGAATCATATGGGATATTCCATATCCCATGGAATTCAGGAATTCAGGGCCCAGCACAACACCTGAACCATTACAGGCATTCAAGAAAGGTTACTGAATGAAGCAGAGAATTCAGGGCATGGATGGACAGCTCATTCTTTGGGCATCAAGCTATGATCAGAGGAGTCAATGGTCAGATCCTCATTGCCAGAAGATTTTTTTCCAGTAGCCTGCAGAGGGGGACTGAACTGGCTTGTCCCGGGATCCATCAGAAGCCCGGTAGGAGAATAACTGCACATGTCTGAAGGGCAGGGAAACGGAGGATGTGCAGAGATAATCACACGGGGCACTTTCCAGGAAGCATCTATTATTAGAGTAATTTGTTTATCAAAAGATACTATTATAAATATTTTTTAGGGGCGCCTGGATGGCGCAGTCGGTTAAGCGTCCGACTTCAGCCAGGTCACGATCTCGCGGTCCGCGAGTTCGAGCCCCGCGTCGGGCTCTGGGCTGATGGCTCAGAGCCTGGAGCCTGTTTCCGATTCTGTGTCTCCCTCTCTCTCTCTGCCCCTCCCCCGTTCGTGCTCTGTCTCTCTCTGTCCCAAAAATAAATAAATGTTGAAAAAAAAAATTAAAAAAAAAATAATAAATATTTTTTAAATGAGAACACCTTTTAAAGGCTTATTTTCTGGAAAGAGTTTTTAATAAAATGTACTAATGATTTTAAAGGAAGCCATATACAAAACCACTAACAAAAAGACTGCAAACAACGAAGCAAGGTCAATGGCTACCTGTCTGAGGAATCCTGGCAACTGTGTAAATATCAACCCAGTCTGAGGGCTGGGCCCCGGGTGACAAATGCATTTTCCAATTTCATGGAGAAAAAGATAAGACCGCGCCAAGGCTGTGCAAGGATACAAAATCCCAGAGTGCGTGAACTAGAGGTTTTAAACACTCTTTTTTTTTTTAAGCAGCAGAACCCTTTTCTTGTATCTTATGCAAAATCTTGCAGGCAAATCAGGTAACAAATAAGGATGCTTGTTTCAACAGAGTGTCAGGGGCCTGGGGACCCAGGGTCCGTTATTTTCTGTACCCTCCTTATCCGCTGGAGGCAGCCCTGAGAGGCCATGAACACCCAGCAGTACCCTGGGACACAAAGTATTCTCCTTAAGTCAGGCAAACTTCCACCTTTCACATCAAAGACCTGGTCCTCAGAGTAAGGAGATATACCCCAAAGGCATCTGGATTGTTCCTGTTGCTTATTTTACAATAACCAGAAGGTTTGGAATTAGGAGTCACAAACCACAAAGAAAAAGCCCAAAAATTCAATGCCAACTACGAGAAGTTAAAGCAGCAAAGATCGGCTCTTCCGGACGAGTGCCAGAGCTGAGATTCTGCAGATGAGAAAGGAAGTCTAGTGGGCAGCATCCCGCCCAGGCCCCGCGTGGGGGCAAGTCTGCGGCAGAGCCAAGTCCAAAGGCTCCCGAGGCTTCTACGTGGCTCTGGGGAGTGGCTGTGTATACCAGTGTCCCTTCTGGAGCTGCAGCCTTCTGGGGAAAAATCAGAATTGGGCACATTCCGTATTTAGCACTCCGGTGTAAGTGCATAAAGCAATGCAGTGTGGGGTAAATCCAAGGACATTTTGTTCTTTAGCAGAGACTGACAAGCTCATTTAGTAGCAACAATTCACAGTCCACAAGAAAATGCTGAATCTCACTTACAGGCATAGAGAAATTCAGGCAAAGACAGCCAAACAGCACCAGTAGCTATTTTAGACGTGCATATTTTAAAACCATAAATCTTTATTTTTCTTAACAAAATTATCTGTTGCCACAAAGGCCTCCTGCGAGGTTATAATCCCCATTTCAGAGATGGAGAAACTGACATGGGCAGGCACGCAGGGACAAGGGGAGAGCCGAATCTTCCTTACACACAGCAGCCTGCGAGCTCACACAAAGAGCTTCCACAGTCAGCAAAACGCAGCCTCCAGTGCCTAGGGAAGGCAGTTCAGAGTCATTAAAAACCAGTCCTGTCCCATCCCAAAAGGACATCTGGATAAATAGGCACTGGGGAGACATGACTAGCAGGCTTACCTGAGGAATTTAATCCAAGGTTGCTTTAAATTCACAGTACTTATGCCCTGGTCTGCGGTTTCCTTGCTGATGGAGTAGCAATTCTATAAGCACTTCACAGGAGAATTTACCTCACATGTCTTTCTCTCAAACCCTTTCCAGGAAATAAAAATTAAACCCACTAACTGTATAAACCACCCCATCTAAACAGTCTTCTCCCATTCTTTCTGAATTTCTTTTCCTGATCCCTTTTTAAATGGCTTTCACACTCTAAAGGTTGCCAAGCTGACATCCTTGGGGACCAATCCTATCCATTTATGTGCAGAATCCACAAAAGATGCTCGGCCCTTCTGCACGGTCTCCACACAGAGGGAGAGAGGGCGGGAGTGGGGGAGAGAGCAAGAAAGATGTTGCCCACTGCAAGGTCACCAGGACTCAGGGGCTGTCCACTGGAAAGCACAGCTTACTGGAAGAGCAACTCTACACTCAGACTGGCTTATTAGCAAGGCTGCCGTGACAGAGCAGGGAACTCTTCTCGAAAACAGCTCATTATGCGGTGGCTTTGAATATGCAGCAGGTCTTGCATATTTGCATTAAATGCAGCGGAGTGAGAAAGGGCTCAGGAAACACGCCCAACTCATTCTTACTCAGGTTTCTTTCAAGTCCCTTCACGTGGCACAAAGGCCTGTGCAGTTTGGTCCTGGCCTACAGCTGCTGCCCCATCTTTTCCTCTTTGCCCTCTCTCAACATCCTACATGCTGGCCACTCCATTCTCAGGGCTTTGCTCTGTTCCAGAAGGCCCTTCTCGACACCCTCCCCTCCCCCCCACCTTCAAGCCCAGCCCTCGTTAACAGAGCCCTTTCTGACACCCACCGGCCCACCTGATCATTGTCACTTGGTAACCCCGACACCTGACGCCTCATACAGCTCTGGAGTCCAGCTTTCATTACAGTGGATTGTTAGGTAGGTAGAGCCAACGGTCCCAACCAGGCTATGAGCTCCCTGACAGCACAGGCGATACCTAATTGGTTTTTGTGTGGTCTGGCAAACTATGGAAGGAAGCCAAGTGCCCGACACACAGTAGGTAGTCAAGACGTGTTAAGAACGGGTAAGGTGCTCATACTCTGACTGAGCTGACCACACCATTTGGGTGGTAGCAAGACGTGCCAAGAGTTCACTGCAAAGAGTAAGAAACTGGAAACAGTATCAACAGATCTCAAAGGAGGAACATGTCAATAACATGCCACATTAGGGAAGATTACGCAATCAGTAATAAAAAGAAACACATCTGTAGGTACTGACATGGACGAAGGGAGATGTACTATCAGGTGAGACATTCTTGGAGAATAAACAAGGAATTATGCGCAACAATTACCTCTGAGGGAGGTTAGTACCAGGGATAGGAGAGAGGTTGATTTTAATTTTCTTTTTTTTTTTTTTTAACTTCATGTACTTTCTTAATGGTTTGAATTTTTGTAATTATGCATTACGTTTAGAATTTTAAAAATGAGTAACATGCCCTCCTTGGAACTGGAATTTAATTCTAAAGGTTTCCACGTTCACAATCCTCTCGATCCAATCCATCTAGTAAATGAAACCATCTATCATGGACCCATTAAGTTCCTCGGCAAGTCCGAACAAATACAAGAATGAAACCATTTTGTGGGTGCGTATGGTATGTTCCCCATTGTGCTCTCAGATCAGCTTCTCTCCCGTGCAGTGCTTTGGGCAACTATTCCCTGCTAGCTTCCTATCCAGATTTGAGTGGTTTCAACTCGATAAATATTTATTGGGCATCTCCCATGCAGAAGGCACCTGTGCATGGCAATGGATGCAAAAGAAAACGTGAACAACATAAGGCCCTGGCATCCCAAGGCTCCCACTTTACCAGGGGGACCAACACCAAGAATTTTAAACAAGGCAGAATGTGGAAAGTACTATAAAAAGGCCAACAGGAAGGGAAATGTTATAAACGGGAAGCCGGGAGGATCTTGTGGTGAAGGAAGGCCGGGGCAGGGTCCAGAAAGATGGGCAAGACTGATAAGTGGGGAGTCACGAGGAGCAAATGAGACGGGCGTCTGCCCCCTCCTGTGTGCTGTTCGGATACACTGGAGCTGCAGCTTAATGTCTGGACTTGGAGAGACTTTCTGCATGCAAAGTAAATAAAAGGAACAGCCACAGAACAGGAATAAAATCCAAACCCTTTCCACTAAATCCTAAGGCCCACTTGTCCCACCTTTCTCGGACCTCACTGCTGACCACCAGCTCCCATGCCCTCGCGGCGGCCGCCCAGCCCAGCTTGCTCCACTGAGATATCCCACTCCTGGTCTTCCCCCTCTGCCCTGACAGTCAACTCCTTCAGCAAGGCCCGTGTCTTCTCCTTTACATTTTATCCTCAGTGCCTAGCACACAGGCAGTGCATGAAGACAAGCACCATAAACATCTCTGGAATAGATACATCAAATACAGTTCTAAAGTAGAAAAGACCCAAGAGAAGTAGAAGGTCTCCTTGTGTAACTCACTTGGATTTTTTTTTAACTCTGAATAAATCTATCTGGGCTATCCATCACTTGACTAGCCCTCAACCACAAGGACTTGAACAAGTGTCAAGGTTGGTGCCCTTGCCTGGTACCGTTGTGGCTTTGGATGAAGTGATCGCCGCAGTCCACATAAAAAGCCTCAGCATTTTAATTCTTACTTCGCAGCTGAGAGGAGGATCCTCAAGGCAAACGACCCTCTAGGCAGTCACAAAGTCCGTAACTGTAGGAACTAAGACTTGAACCCAAGTCCTCTGCCTCGTCTAAACCCTATTTGCTTCCACTAAGCCCCCACTGAAACACTGCGGGCTCGGACCAGAAGTGTTGCCGCTATGCTTGAAAGCTGTAAAGGGTTGCCAGTCTCCACGGATCTAAAAAAGACCAGCCGTGAAATGTATCAACAAGGGGATATGGTGGGATCTGAGGATCAAATCTCCCCCCAAAACAGCAAATACTAAGCAAGTTTTCACAATTACTCCTCACGTGTTTGGCTTTTAAGTGAACCTAACTCCTCCTGATTACCGTTATTGGAATGTCTACGCTTTTCCAAATAATAAGTACCACTTAGGAGCAACTGTTATTTTAACTGTGAATTAAGATCATAAGTCTTTTGTTTAAAATGCAATCGTGTGTTCTGCTGAACACTTCCAAAGGTGCAGGACTGTAATTCCCTTGCAGGCAACGCATGCCTAAGTGAAGTTTTTCATTTGCAAATTAGGTTAGTTTGCAGGGGAAAATGAAAAGGCCTCATCAGACAGACCAAGAAATGGATCCCTTCTTTACCTAGAAGAACGATTAGCTGAATCCTCTGTGGGGAATATTTTATCTTCCACATATTGTCAATTTTCAAAAGGTCTGAAAATCTCAACACCACACCTAATTATGGTCTACCCCAGTGACCCTTCATATCTGCCTGTTTACTCAAATGGAAATAGGAATTGCAGACATTCCTTGGATGAGGCAACACCCCAGGACAGGAAATCCCATGATATATTTCCAGTTCCTAACTTCCCAGGGCAGGGGTTGGGCAAATTCATTCTGTATCAATCTATCCATTCAGACCTTTCTCATCTTACTATGGGCTACATCCCAATGAACTCACCATAAGCTGAAAATAACACAAGTCAAAAATTCATCTAGTACACGTAACCTACTGAACACGATCACTTACACTAGCCTGCCCTAAAGGTGCTCAGAATATTTACATTGGCCCACAGTTGGGTCAAATCATCTAACTCAAAGCCTATTTTACAATCAACTGTGGAAACTAAACAGAACTCAGAGCAGAGTTTCTACTGAATGTCTATTGTGTTCGCACCATCATAGCTGAAAACGCGAAGTTGAACCATCATGAGTGGGGGACTATCTGCACGCAGACCCCTGTCAATGTGGGCCACACTTATCTCTAAAAGGACACTCCATCATATCCTCCACTAAATCGCCAGCAGGGAGGGGATGGCTTTCTTGGAACATTACCTCGCTAGTTTAATTTTCTAGATCAATTAGAAAACATACAAGGAGAACAGGAGGGCAGGCTCATACTTAACAGGAATTCTTAATAGTTATTGGACACTGGGCTGTTAATCAGACACATGTTGCTTGTTACTTATATAATGTTACTACTTGAACACGAACACACACACACACACACACACACACACACACACACACACACACACACGAACCATTGTCTTCAAGATTGTGTGCCATGTTCCCTCTGACCATTTTTATTTCCCCCAAGTTGGATTCATTCCATTTTGAGAGGCAACTCCTTTAGGAAACATGCTTTTAAAACCTGCGTTTTGAGAAATGAAGTTAATGGGCCAGAACTGGTTTATCATGAAATACTCATCAAGTCAGGAAATAAAGTTCAAACTCTCGTAGCCTTAGGTGAAGGGAACCTATTTGGAGGACACCGTCAGGGTAACGAACTAAAGGTCATTTCTCTAGAGTTAGTGAATTTTAGAAATGGTAAACTTGGATTAGGTAGTATTACCTCTTGTCATACATAATTTAAAAAGGAACAATCATGTTTAATTTACTAAATCCAATAAAGTCTTCTATCATCTTCAATCACAGGCAGAATGCAAAAGAGCCAGAAGCCACCCTCTTTCTTCTCCCACCACACCTTAAGAGCAGTCAGTTTTCAAATGTCTGCTAATTTGTAGCAGTACTTTGAAAGGCTACATACAAGGACTAGCCTCTTCTGAAAGAGGCAGAATGGTCTGCCCTCCTCCACTTCAGGGCTACCAGCATCTGGAGAGTGCAGCCATTCATCTGAGGGGAGAGTCTCCATTCTCCCAAAGGGTGAGGGGTCGATGACACATTCCGGCTCTCCCAGGCTCTGGTTTTCAATATTCCTTACCAGCCACCGTATGATCTGCCACCAGCACGTGCCCTCATGTTGCAATTAACTAGACCACAGCTTATCTCACACCCCTTACAGTTTAGGCTAATATCTTTCCATTGAGATTTGGGAATGGTTGATCACTTCCCGATCCAGTGACTCTGAACAGCTTTCATTTCAGAACATTATCCTCAATAACCCACCCGGAATGCCAGGACAAAGACTGTGCACGCAGGCCTTTTCTAGGAGCCTACCGGCATTCCACCCAGCCCTCTCCGGTGCACAACGCCAGCTTATGAGACCACTGTTTCCACTGTTCCCCTCGCACAGGAACTGTGCCTTTTTCTCGGCTTGCACATACTCACCACTCATTAAATGTTGGTAGAATGAACAAATTAGGTAGATAACGAATAAATGCTTAAAGTCGTCTACATGAAGCACAAACAGGAACACAGAAACTTGCTGTAATATATTCCCTCAATCATTCTTTTATTCAATCAACACTTAAAAGTGCAGTAGATACATCTAGATGACTAACACAGCTACACTCCTGCTCTTAGGACGTTTACGGTTAACGGACAAGACAGACACTGAATAATCACACGAAGGAACAGCCAACTGCAAATTGCCACAAAGGGAATCAAAGGGTAATAAGTAAGGGTAATGAGAGACCATGAGACACTGAGGAAAGGATTGTATTTACCCTGCGACTGGAGGAATGAGTAGAAATAAGCCAGACGGGGAGAAGAGGGGGAAAGGAGAGGGAATGCGATGACAGTTTTCCAGGCAGTGGGAAGAGCATGTGCAAAGGCCCTGAGGTGGGATAGAGCTTGATGCATTCAAGAAATGGATAGATGGGCATGGCTAAAATTTAGCAACAGAAAGGTGAAGCGGGAACGACTGTGGAAATCTCATCTCTGCTTTCTCATGAGTGTCCAGCATATAGTCTTCCTTTAAAACAACC